TAAAATATTAAATTTGGGAAATCATGACCATACAAAGATGGAAATAAATATAACCGTTGAATCAACATAAGCGATCTAACGGTGAGATTGACTGGGTGTCACATGGGTGTAACATAACTTGGGTGTCACAATATCCTATCCCAAATTGAAATTATAAATTTAAATTCTAAATTCTAAATTCAAAATTCAAATTCAAAATTCAAATTTCAAAATTCAAAATTCAAATTTCAAATTTCAAATTTCAAATTCAAAATTCGAATTTCAAAATTCAAATTCAAAATTCAAATTTCAAATTTCATATTCAAAATTCAAAATTTAAATATTTGATAATTAATTTAACTAATTAAATTAATTAGTAATGTCTTGGACCATCCAAGCCCATTACATGATCCATGCGCCCTTTCCCCTTTTGGTGGGCATCTAAACTTCTTCTTGGGCTAACAACCATTATTAGGCCCAATACCTTTAATGCTATATCATCATGACAATAAGGTGTTAGTGTGTGACCCATTAGATCCAACATAGCCACTGACATAAATGGGCTCAAGCCCAACAAGCCCACAACCCATTTAATGACAACACAGAGCACTACCAATGCTTTGTTGCCCCAGAACTAGTTAGATTAATGACTTGATCATCCTATTACACATATTTGGTTACCGTATGTATTTCCTTTCGTCTCTGTTACCTTCCCATTAAACCTAGGGTGAGGATACGTATCAACCCTTGCGGTTTAGGGTAAGCTTTAATTCGAAATAGGGAATCTTCAATTTACTGACTCTAAAGGCAGATCATCTCATGATCTCTTTTACTATGCATAGATTCCCGAGTCCTGTAAATGTCATCCCGATTTCTCCGATTTACAGATAACCTAATCCCTTACAGAGATTTGACGAATTCCTTCAGCTTATAACCCTAGGCATGTGCTCTTTCAGGACATGCCCAAAAGTATACCTATGAGTCTCCATGTTTCAGGCAGACGAGGTATACAATCAAAACATGCCTTCTAGAACACAGTCTAGGTGACAACTTATGGTCTAAGGAAAGACATACCCAAATATTAAGAGACTGCTCTAATGATACTTTTGTAAGATTTCCTCATAGAGTCTCTTTGTGGGTCTGTTCAGTGCGAGCTATACCCTTAGAGGTCCACCCATGACTTTAGCTAAGACATCTCCATATCTGTAGCTCATGAGGTCTTTACCTTGCATCTGAATACAAGTAGATAAGTCGTGCTAGTCTTACCCGAGATCACTGATCCCCATTCTCAGTGTCTCTAGACTAGGAACATAAAATTAGGAATAAACATCCAGTATCCTTGAATCCTCATGATCGTGATCTCATCACAGATACTCAAGAGATTCTTGATACCTATTTTATTCCAAGGGGTTCATCCAGTTACTCATATAAAATATTAATTATAATATTGAGACAAAATATGAAACAGGATAAAGAGTGCTTTTTATTTATTTGCGACAATATAAAAGGTCCACATATGTCCTAATCTAATCAAAAGATTATCTCTAGGACATCCATATACTAACAAGCTCCCACTTTGCCGACGTCAAGTAGCTGACAACTACATCTGGAGTGGTATTAGACTCGTGTCGATCACCACTAGTACCATGTGTTTCCCGTAGAATCTTCAAGCCATAGACAGTCAACACAACCTCAGTATGAAATAGCTCCCAGAGTCAAGTCATAGGCAGCCTACATACCATGATCACTGGCCAGGATCCTCATAACATATATCATCAGTGCATCATCATAACATCAAGATCATATAACATCTATATGAATGTGAATGAATGCACATATACATCATACCATATACTCTCATACAATACAACCATAATGCCCACCATCATGGTGGGGCCACAAGAGAGAGGAGTCAACTAGAACTAGGAGCTTACCTCAGTGAGCTTATCAACAACCCAACTCCAACAGTCAATACGTATGCTCCCAAACACTCTCAAGTGCCAAGCTCTCTAGGCCAACCTAGAGCAGGAATCATTTACATTATTAATACTCAATCACTTAATGATTCCACATTACATTCTTACATGCCAATAATATGCCCATCACAAGTCTAGACCAATTGTTACTTATTATTTATTTTAGTGCATTATTATAAGCCACTACATTCTTTAATCATTTACATAACTTAGAATCCTCTTCTAGACTCATCTAGGTAACTTAGATTATTTTCAACTCATCCAAGACATATAGTTACTTATTATAAGTTACTAAGGGTTCCCCTAAGCCCACTTAGCTTAAATATCACTTTTACTGTTTTTCCATAACTGTACATGCTTCTGTTTTCTAGTCACTGAGCGCAACTCACTTGTTATAAAATTCTCATATTTTAGTATGTTAATCTATACTCAATTACATTTCCAAAAAGGTATCACATGCCTCATTTAGAGTACCCTAACTCCGGTTATCACCATTTGAAGTTGGACAAGCAAAGCTGTTTGCCAGCTCAGAACAGGGCCCTAAACATCATTTACCATTTCTGCGATTCTGGAAAATATACAAAACCAATTTCTCTCAAAATTTTATGTAGACAACTAGACACCTGTATCTTTAATTCTACATATTATGAGTCTAATTTGAGTAAGCACAGAGGGAGAAATAATTCGTGGAAGTTGCAGCCATGTACAGCCCCTGCACATGGCCTCCCTGTGCAGTCCTCACTCAAACGAACATACAGAATGGAATACATCTTCAATTGATACCAAATTTTGACACCAGATAGCTAACATCTCAAGCTTCAATTTTATATAAGGCACAGCCCTATATGACCTCTGTGGAGGGAGATATTATCTCCCCAATTTTGCCTGAAAAAAGATTACTTAGCCTTAAATGTGTTTACTTAACAAACCTTAATTACTTTTGATTATAAATCCTAATTCACATTAATTCTTGGATTTTTCTATTATTAAGTCACATTATGAAATCTTCTTGGTCCCATTATGTCATGATACTTAAATTTTACTAATTACTTAATTAGTGTACCTAAACCCTACTTTAGTCCAATTTTAGAGTTAATTCCTTAATTACTTTTGTTAATTAATTCCTACCCTTAATTAATCCCCTAATTCATCATCTCCTTAATTTTAACACAACTAAACCCTTATATAATTTATTGGGCAGATTTGATGAGCTATTTTAATTAGATTTTTTAGCCATTATTAATCATGATTACTGAGTTTTACTTAGAGTTAACCCACCTAGTTAATCTTTCTAATCATTTTTCACACTTAACAACTTAATCACCTTTTTTTTTTGTCATCAAACCCTAGCCTCCGTGGACATGGCTGAACTTTCATGTAACATTTTTAGGATTCAAGTTCATTCTTTTTCATGAAATCAATATATACACGGAACATGAATCTTGTAGAAATTATATAGTGAAACTTGCTGCCAAAAATTAAGTGCTTGTGCCAGCTGTTCAATTGGGGTGGTGGTATTTACAAGATTAATGTGTCAAAAGTGGATGAAGTTTTGGAATCATAAATATAACGTTGGATATTGGTGAGATAAATGGAAAAGCATAAAGACCAAAAAGAAATCAGCATCCACTGCCTGCGGCCGCGAACTTATTAATTGAAGGAACAAAACCATGACTTTCTTCTTTCTGTGTGAGAAGAAGCTCGCCTAAAACCAGAACCAGAACATCTTGCCAAACGGTTCCACAAGTTCCTGCTAGCATTGCAAGGAACTAAGAAAGGCGCAACGTCTGTTCCTAAGCAAAGGCTGGGGTTGATTTTGAATGAGGAGAATCTCTGGCAGCTCAATGAGCGGAATGATCTTGAGGGAGAAGAAGTTTTGGAAGCCTAATTTAATGAGACTTGGCTTAAAAGGCCTTGAGCTGGCTTCATATATTATTATAATCAATAATATATTTTTTACTACTTTTTACTATAATAAACAAAACATAAGTAATATATTTTAGCATGAAAGATATAATTATATGTGAATTAAGTGAGTTCAATGATTGTCTTTTCTCTGACGAAGGAATATAAAAATTGATGCATTTATAAATGATTTTTAAGCCAAATCTTTAATTTTTTTATAAACAAATCAAGTCAAGCCTAAAATTTAGCTCGTATCAAACTAATGGGCCAAGTCAAGCTAAAAATATTTTTCATAGGTTTGGCTCGTTTAAACTAAAACTTGACTCGGCCTAGCTCATTTATGTTCATACTTAAACCTATTGCAATTATAATCTATTAGTAATATCCTAAATATATATATAAAAAATGTTTTTATTATATAAAATACCAAAAATAATTTTAATAAAAAAAACACTGAGTCATAAAATGTCAAAAATGTTCTAATTAAAGTAAAAATTGTGCAGGAAGGAAAATGCATTATTCTTCTAATTCATTTCTTTTAATTCTTAATTAATTCTCAAATTTACAATTTAATGGTTCAGGTTATCATAGTTTTAATCAAAATGAAAATATTAAAAAAACTAGTTGTTTGCTGAAGACTATACATAACTTGCAAGAGCTAATTGATCATTTTATTCCTATTTTAAATTTTGCAAAATGATCAATCAACCTAACCGGAAAACAAAGATATTGAATGCACCAGATAAATCACCATATTAATATGCTTTTCCTTGTCTTCTTATTTAGATTTCTATTTAGTCTATTAAAATCAAAGTGCTGAGAAGCTTCAAAACGCTTTTCAAAGTTGACATTCATGAAATTCTTTCAAAAACCTTTTCTTTTAAAATGCATGTGAACTGTGACTTTTACTTCTGATAGTTTCTTATATTAAGAAAAATGTTTGAAAATTCTTTGTTTACAATTTTCTATTATTGACTTATTCTTAAGTGAATCTACTTAACCACTGTTTGAGAGAGAAAAGAAAAACCTCGTGTTTTTTTGCCTACATCAAACTTTTTAATGTAAGTTCAAATATATTTTATTTTTTTTTGAAAGATTAAGTTCAAATTTTTTGAATGCTATCAAAATTAGTAACCAAGGTTCAAGGGTCTAAAAACATTTCATGTCCTAACCAAGCAAGTAGTGATAAGAGATTGACCAAGCATCCGTCCCAATTTTTCTCCCCATTGGAGGCTAAATTGTACAAATCATCAAAGTCCCCGATTCATATTGAAACAATCTAATGAGATATTATACATTAACAATGTAAGCTTGATAGACAATTTTGTGGATGTGAAGACTGAACTTTCAAACACACCAAGCAGTGCTGCAAATGGGAATAAACTACTCATCATCGTCCGGGTCAAAATCCTTAACCTTCACATCAGCATCTTCTCCATACTGGATGCAGTTGTCAATTTGGGCCAATACATATTGTATACTGTAAATGAGAACAATCCAATAGTAAGTATAAAATAAAAATGGCTTCATTTTTGGGGTAGGGCTGAACTAATGAAGCAAAGGATGTGAAATGTAAAGTTCAATGACTTGCACTACCCTTTGGATAGGTTAGTAATCAATGACGTGCAGACTATTCAGCATCAATTTTCTGTTTTCAACCTTGAGGACAAGGTTGTTTCCCCACAGGGAGGTATTGTTACAAACATAAATACAAGGGAACACAGGAGGCAGTCAGTTAGATTAGTTAGTATAGGGTAGTTAGTTGGAGGCTTGTCACAATAGTGTAATTGCATGTATATAAGGGGATATACCCCTCTTTTAGAAATAGCTTTTGACAAATATTGAGTTAGGCTGAGAGTGCTCAGTTGAAAGGGAATGCCCCTTGTGAAGAGAAGTGTCTCTTGAATGTACCTTCCATTTTCTTGTCAATGAACAGATTTTTCCTTCCATTTCCATTCTTTTATTTCATTCTTCATTTCTGCAATATCAATTCCTATCTCTAACAACCAGAATCGTAACAGTGGTCCGACCTGCCAGATCTTTGAAGGGGTGAATGCCATGGGAGGAGGGGCTTTGAAGAATTCTGGAAGTCATATCAAGAAGACCAGCGATTCAGAAGTCAATGAAAAGTTGCAGAAAGCAATAGAGATTCTTGATAGGTTGGTGGAGAAATGGGAAACACCAATTTACGAAATCAAGAAGCACGATGTTGATGGAACTCTTGCAGATCCAAAGCCAGAAATGGATGCACTAATTGAGAAGGAGGAGACATCAACCTTTGAAATAAAAAAGGAGCACAATATCAATGGCACTGTTCTGGAGGAGAAATTGGAAGAGAGGTAGTTTCAAAGCTAGAAACTAATACAAAAAAAAAGGAGTCGGAAGATGAAGAGAAGTCTAACATTCTAGCAGAAGATGATGTTGAAGAGGAAGCGCCAGCCTTTGGAATCAAGAAGACAATCTGGGACAGAAAAAGAGATTTTTTCTGTCATGTATGTGGGTGGTGAAAAAACAGAGCATGACACCAAGAAGGAAGAAGAAACAAAAATATTGGAGAAGGCACAAGATGAGGTAGATTTGAAACCCATACCAAGTATGAAGGAAATTGAAAAAGAAGATGAAGATGCAAAAATGGGTTATGTTTTTCAGAATTTAGTGTTCAACAAGAAGTTGGATGAGAAACAAAAATGGGAAGCTCCACCAAAGCTAGTGAATATAGACTTGCCCATTAAGGTGGAGAGGGTATCAATGGGAGAGGGTAATTGGAATCCGAACCTGCAGACCCATTCTCCATCGTTGTTCTTGGGTGGGTGTGCTAACTACAAGATGGTGAAGCAAAGGAAGAAGTCAGCGAGTGCAGCCATGGGGCATATTACAGAGATTAAGCTAAAGTGTAGCATGTTACGGAGTTCACGGTGAGTAACATGTTCTACCAGCCAAAATACAATGAAATCCAGGTTCTTGAACAATTATTTAAGTTTGAATTCAAACTCACAACAGCAAATTTGGCATTTTAATTCACGCGCACAGCATAATTGATGTACCAAAATATTTGATAGAATGGTCATGAAGACAAACAAATCTATCATATTTTCTTGGGCTACAACACTTGTATTCTTCCCACGGTATTCATATTGTAATTTCTATTTGTTTCAACCACTAAACCAGAGAGGCAAGTGATACAGCTCGACCATTGATCAACAAGCCCACTACTAGGAGAGTATATCAAAGGAGGAACCAAATCAATAAAGGAAGTTCAAGGAGTTAAACAGTTATTTGAAGGAATAAAGAATTAGTGATTATGCTAGTTACAAGATTGAATAAAGAATTCAAAGAGAATTAGTGATTACGTCAGTTACAAGATTAGTTAAGGAAATTTGAGATGTCAAGTTAGTTAAAAAGTAGGAGGAATAATTCTAGAGTAAAAATAGGTTACTGAGTCAGGGTTTGAAGGTATCATGATTGTAATCAGAAAATTGAGGTATTCCTCAGTGAAAAGGGATACTTCCCCCAACAGTTTCTTGTTTCCAATAGTCCGAATTTGTTTCTAAAGTTTTAGACGAATCAAGTCTAAAATGTGTTTACAATCACATCTCAAAGCCTGCAACCAGTAGACAAGTCATGGCCAAGATTTTTGAGCAGCACTGGAAACACAAGACGCAAGATCCATAATTTGAGTTCATCTTGGTTCACGCCACATTTTTTTCTTTCTTCAATAAAAATAATTTCTACCAGAGCCTTCAATTTTAATATTTCAGCATCATCAATGACATTTACTCAAAGCCAATTAATGATACAGCCACCAGAGCAAAATCATATCCCTTATATGCAAACAGCATAAGATCCTTCAAAAAAAGAAAAGGCAGCAAGGACAAGCAGGAAAAAGATAGAGAGGCTGTACCTTTTGTCCTTCCTCAAGTCCAGTGGTATAAAACTCACCATGCTATAATTATTCACCTGTTGCAGAAAAAATGAATCAACATCAACATCAACAACACCTTTATCCCAAATTAATTGGGGTCGGTGGTAGATGAACCCACATGAAAGATACAAAACGGTTGAAAAAAAAATAAAAAATAAAAATAAAAAAAATAAAAATAAAATAAAAATAAAATAAAATAAAATAAAAAATAAAAATAAACAAATAAAATAAAAATAAAAAATAAGATAAAATAAAATAACAATATATGTATATATAAATAAATAAAAGTAAAAAAGAAAGGGACAAGAAGAAGTGGGGGAAATGAAGGGGAAAAGGACTAAAAAGGGACCATCTGGAACATAGGAATAACAGCGGGTCTAACCCTCCACCATACTTATAGCTTTTCTCCATTCCGTTCTAAGACATACTGTCCGCCAATCTATATCCCACTCCATTAAATCTTGTTTTACTACTTTCCCCCAAGTAAGCTTCGGTCTACCTCTGCCTCTTTTTGTGTTGAGCTCTTGGTAACAAACTTCTGTTCTTACAGGAGCATCCATGGGTCTTCTCATCACGTGCCCAAACCACCTCAATCTATGTTCTCTCATCTTCTCGGCTACCGGTACTACTCCGACCTTTCGTCGAATATCTTCATTTCTTATCTTATCCATCCTTGTGTAACCACACATCCACCTTAACATCCTCATCTCTGCTACTCCCATCTTATGCTCATGTTGCCTATGTGCTGGCCAGCATTCTGCTCCATATAGCATTGCCGGTCTTACTGCCGTTTTATAGAATTTTCCTTTTAACTTCAGGGGGATTTTGCGGTCACACAAAAAAGCAGATGCACTGCGCCATTTCATCCACCCTGCTCTGATTCTGTGATTTACATCCTCATCAATCTCTCCACCGTTTTGTAAAATGGAGCCCAAGTATTTAAAAACATCTTTTTTGGGTACCTCTTGACCATTTAGATGCACAGGTTCTTGGTCCTCATCTCGTACCAGAGAAAACTCACACTTCAGATACTCAGTCTTGCTTCGACTTAATGTGAATCCTCTGGATTCCAATGTGCTTCTCCACAATTCAAGTTTTCTATTAACACCCTCCTTGCTCTCATCAATAAGCACAATATCGTCTGCAAAAAGCATACACCATGGCACTTCCTCTTGAATATCTTTTGTTAGTTCATCCATAACTAAGGCAAAGAGGTAAAGACTTAGAGCCGACCCTTGGTGTACACCTACCGTGATAGGAAAATAACTTGATGATCCGTTACAAGCTTTTACACATGTAGTAGCCCCATCATACATATCCTTGATTGCCTTTACATACTTTAATGGAACCTTTTTCATCTCCAGGACCCACCATAAAACTTTCCTTGGAACCCTATCGTATGCTTTCTCAAGGTCTATGAACACCATATGCAAGTCCTTTTTCTTTTCTCGGTATCTTTCCATTAGTTGTCGCATCAAGAAAATTGCTTCCATGGTACATCTTCCTGGCATAAATCCAAATTGATTTACAGAAACCTTGGTATCTCTCCTCAAGCGATGTTCAATAACCCTCTCCCACAACTTCATAGTATGGCTCATTAGCTTAATGCCTCTATAGTTTGAACAATTCTGTATATCTCCCTTTTTTTTGTAGATAGGCACAATCATACTTTTCCTCCATACATCAGGCATCTTATTCGTCTGGAGAATCTTATTAAAAAGATTGGTCAACCATTTTATTGCCACATCCCCCAGGCCTCTCCACACTTCAATAGGGACACCATCAGGCCCTAAGGCTTTATTAGTCTTCATCCTCTTTAAAGCCTCCTTAACTTCATGTGTATTAATTCTGCGTACAAATCTTCTATTCATATCATCACACGCGTCCTCTAAGTCCACCTCGCTTGTATCTCCATCCCCATTATACAGCTTGTTGAAGTATTTCAACCACCTTTCATTTACATCTTCATCTCTCACCAGAAGTTTTTGATTTTCATCCTTGATGCATCTAACTTGGGTGAGGTCTTTACTTTTCTTATCCCTTATCTTTGCAAGTTTATAAATACCTTTTTCACCATCCTTGCTCCCAAGATTTTTATACAACCTTGCCTCTAGCTTATCGCACTGCTTTCTTTGCATTTTTTCTCGCCAATCTAAACTTTTGCAGGTTCTCTGCACTGGGACTTTTATGCAAAGATCTAAAGCACTCCTTCTTATGTTTAATTGCCTCTTGCACCTCTCCATTCCACCACCATGTTTCCTTTGTATGAAATCAATTTCCTTTGCTTTCTCCCAACACCCTCCTTCCCAAATTTTGAATACACTTAGCCATCTCATTCCATGTTGCATTTACTCCTCCATCAAACTCCCAAGGTCCTTCGTGCAACATTCTATCATTGAACTCTCTCTCTTTTCCCTCCTTAAGCTTCCACCACCTTATCCTTGGATTCTGAGCCCTCTTCTTCATTGTACGCACTTTGTTGAACCGAACATCCAAGACTACCAGCTTATGTTGCGTAGCGACACACTCTCCAGGGTAGACCTTACATTCGACACAAGAAGTTCTATCTTCTCTTCTAGCCAGAAAGAAATCGATCTGACTACGATTATGGCCACTATGAAAAGTGATTAGGTGTGACTCCCTTTTTTGAAAAAAGGTGTTCACTAACATCAAATCGTAGGCTAGTGCAACATTCAAGATATCTTCTCCAGTCTCGTTTCTCGTCCCATAGCCAAAACCTCCATGGATTCTATCAAAACCTCCATTGCTTTTACCAACATGACCATTTAGATCTCCTCCTACGAAAATCTTCTCCTCTCTAGGTATTCCCCTCAAAACCTCCTCCAAGTCTTCCCAAAATTGGCTTTTATCAGTTGGTTGCAATCCAATTTGGGGTGCATACACACTGAGGATATTCAGGATTAAGTCACCCACAACAAGCTTAACCAGAATAATCCTGTCGCCTTTCCTTTTGACGTCCACAACTTTATCTCTGAAACTTTTATCGATCATAATTCCAACACCATTTCGACTCTTGTTCGTACCTGTGTACCATAACTTGAAACCAGTTCCATCCACTTCCTTGGCCTTTTCTCCAGCCCACTTAGTTTCTTGCAAACACACAATATTCACTTTCCTTCTAGCAAAGACATCTGCCAACTCCCTCAATTTACCCGTTAAGGTTCCTATGTTCCAGCTTCCTAATCTCATCCTTAACCCCTGGGCTGTGCTTGCCCGCCACGCTCGCCCATCTGCGTGTTGGGACCCTGGCATACTTCTCACCAAATCCGGGTGAAGACCTGGCGCCTTGCCTTGGGGCAAGGACCCTAGCCCACTTTTCACTACACCCCGGGCCCGATGCAGCGCCTTGCCTTGTGGCAAGGACCCTAGCCCATTTTTCGCTACACCCGGGGCCCGATGCAACGCGTCGCTATGAAGGGTACGCCCCAACGAAAAATCATATAGGTTCATCACATAAAAATATAGCTGTTTTTTACGGCCGGTTCGCAACACCTGACGCCAACCCTCCTCCTTTATCCTGGCTTGGGACAGGCCATACATGCAAGCACACATGGGCATACTTCTCACCATACATGTTGCAGAAAAAATGAATAAATAGAATAAATAAAATAAATAAACAAGATGATGGATCGAAAACAAAATATTGCAGAATTTAATCAATGTTCCAAAGAAGCTTCAGCGGTAAGAAAATAAATCCTGAATGACTGTTCCAAAATGTGAGTGATATGGGAATGAGTTGCAATATGTAACCTTCATTCCTTTTTAAGATTTGGAATATGCAAATGATGGTAACATCACTCCATTCCCATGATATTTACAGATAAATGGAATGAGAATTATGTCCACATGGAAACAAAAACCCTAAGAAATTCATAATTTCCACAGAGTTCCGAATGATAGATTGCAAAACTAAAATCACACTTGTTGATTGGCACCACCTATCTGGCAATAAAGACACTAAATTGAAGTGAATTATGAAATCAGAAAAACAAAAATAACCTAAATAAAAGCTAGAGGAACGTTTAATTTGCCTGAACTGCAACATTGACATAAAATCTACAGGAACATTTGATTTGCCTGATGTCTATAAACAGGTGATTTCGTTCCAAAACAGACTTTAACAGATTTCTATGTCAATAGATTTCTTAGTTAAAAGAAATTTTAATTTACATTGGATTTTTAATTATAAATAAATTTTTACTAGATAACAGATTTATGTCAATAGATTTCGAAGTTGAAAGAAATTTTATGTTTTGGACTTTTCTAATTATAATTAAATTTTACTAGATTAGACATCAATATACATCTTCACTTGTACTTGCAAGGACAACATCCTAAATACTCTTAAGCACTGTTTTCATTTTTATACTTAATAATTTATTTTATACATCAACCAAGTTAATACATCAAATACTAAATTTAAGATAAAAACATAGAATACCAAAAAAAAAGAAAAAAAAGATAAAAACATAACAGATTAAATCAGAAAGATTTTGGATAGTTCACAATACAGTTCTACAAACATTTGCATTCATTATTTACTTGTTAGTTGTTATTAAGTATTAAAGTAAATATATATACCATGATTTATACATTATCAAAATAAACGCCATAAAAATTAAGCATTAAAATTAACGTGCAATGCAGGTAAGAAAAATTAATAATTATTTAAAGGGATGAAAGCATTATATATCTTGAAGTGGCGTGCAGTGACTAAAGGAGAGGAGCTTCACGGATATTATAGCACAATGGGGTTAGTGTAGTGAACACATGAGTTGTTTTTTCAGTCTATAAGAAGGAAATATATTGGAGAAATTGGAATTTTTTTTTTAAATAAATGGCCCACTCCCCAAGAAACAGCCTCTTTGCAATTATGCAAGGGTAAGGCTGCGTAAAAGGATTGCCTCCACCCCACACTCGCTAATCAGGTTTAACGGGGAGTGGTTTTTTTTAATAAATGGTCCACTCCAGATATGTGAAAATCATGGGTAGGAATGCACTCAGCCAAAATATCATACCAATAGAAGGAATGTCTCCCTGGGAATTTCACATGGAATGCAATCACTTTCATGCTTGCTAAACATCACCTATGTATTATTTTTCTATTTAAAAATAAGAATCAACTTGAATACTTATTTGATCATTGACTACAAAAATCAACCACACTTCAGTCTAAAGCAATGCCAATAAAATCGTTATCTGTTTTCCCTGATAGTACTCTCACATTCTACAATATGACACAGCATATCACCCAGATTTTAATCAATCGCGTACCATTGAAAACAAATTAAATCAATGCAGTTTATACTTTATCATAGTATTGGCCAACAACAAAATCATAGATTAGCAAACAAAACATTTTTTAAAAATCATAGATTACCCACCAGTTCAATCAAAGCTTTATTCAGCTTAGCAAACTGAGGAGCCATCCGTTGATTCAATTCAGACAGTAAAAAGGTGGGCTCTGGATCCAAGAATCTAAGCATAAATTAAAAAAAAAAAAAAATACATCAGAATTTAAATGAATAAAGTGGTTAAAACATTAGGGAAAGAAATTTAGTAACAGTAATTACTCTTCAACATCCTTTTTGTTAGTCACAAGGTCCATTTTTGAAAGGATATTAACATGAGGCAGTTCAAGTTGAACCATTGCAGAAAGGCATGCCATGCATCCACTTATAAATTTGGTCACATCTGTCATGAACTGGAAATGTTTCAAAATTATTAGTGTCAACAAAAATAGTAAGAATACAATAATTGGAAGTCAGAAGGAAAATGAGAGAGTCAACAGCTTAAAAGGAAGCATGATTTAACAAACTATCACAAACCTGTGAATCAAGTAAATACACAGCACAGACATTAAAGTTTTTCCGTTTCAAATGTTCCACAAAATTCCGAAGCATTGGCACATGTGAATAGAGTTCAATCTGACCTGCAAAACATTCTAATTCTAAGTTGATTGATTCCAATTTGTCAGGTCACTTGCAACCAAAAAACTTTATAAACAATTTTAAGCAAAATAATCTTTTAGGTCATGCAAACTGGCCAAGCAACTGTTTTCTTGTAACAGGACAATATATAATCTAAGCATTAGTTGCATTATACTACCAATTCTAATTTTGTGGCCTTACGTACTCATGTGACTGCATCTTATAACGATATTATCGCCTCACAATCACAAAACTTTCATAATTGTAATCATTGGATAATATATATATATAGATATAATACAAAAAGTTAGAGACAAGCACAGCTACCAGGGCAGTCAAAAACCAAGTAATCATCATCCAAATAATTGTCCAGTTCCTCAGTGAACCAATCATCTAGGTTATCTTCAAGATGTCTAAATAAAATAATTAAGGAAACAGAATTTTAAATCAAATTTCAAATAGCTAAAATAGTAAATAAAGGGGAAAAAGAGAAACAGAGAGATAGATAGAGATAAAATAAACAATGATGTAGAATTACTGTTTCAATGAAGCTTGTAAAGAAGATAGAAACAGAAAAAATTTAAAAAGATAAAAATAAAAATAAAAGGATACTCCATGCAGTATACAAGACCACCATTAGGACCTAATCCAAGTTCCTCCATAACATCATCCAGGGAAATGAGTTCCCTTATATCTGCAAGCATCACAACCCAAAGTAGCTAAGCTCCATGAAACAAAACATCTGAACCCACAAAAGCAATAACTACACACCACAATCTGCTTACCCATGGCAACAGGATAGTCAAAATTTTCAGCAGCAGGATCAAGGTTCACAATATGTATTGTTCGCCGTGCCGCAACACAGTGTTGGTACAAACTCGAGCAATACGTAGACTAATCGAGAAAGAAAAACATGCGAACTAATAAGCATCTCATCATTTAAACAAGAGGGGGAGGGGGAACAGCATTGCAAACAAAGCAAGTACATATCTAGTTTAACAGAACAAATGAGTCAAATACAATAAATTACCTTGCCACTACCAGCAGGACCTATAACAAGTTGTGCATAACCCATGATAGCCTTATCAGTTTCCAAGCAATTTCCTTTTCCCTCCTCCCAAGTTCAGATAGTGCAAAGACAATTGACAGCTCGAAAAGAGGCAAGAACTGCAACAGTAATGTAAGCAGCACACCAAACCGCGATGGCCAACAATGAATTCATGAAATGAGAGAAGGCCATAGACGACAGGGACCCAAGACAGAAGAGACAATACAAGAAAACCTGATAATGCTTTAACAAAAGTTTGCTTATTACCCATTTGTTGTTTTTAGTGCAAAATGCCAAATTTGCTAGTTTTCTCATCAATTGCACAGAAACCAAATAACGATGAAAGCATAAGCAACAAAATCGAATGGGCACAAGCAAATGGGTTACGATACAACAATCGGAAACCCAAAATTAGTACGTATTATGAGTTTCTAGTGCTAATGAACAAAGCAATGGTTTTGCTCAATCCAAAATCTATTCAGCCAGTAAAAATTCAAGCCCAACATACCGATTTTTAATGATCGGGTAATGAGATTGAATGAGCTTCGATCATGGCAGCAACCAGAGAGAGAGAGAGAGGGACAGTAATATAATAAAAAGAGATTAAGCTAAAGTCTGAAGGGTATAAGCTATTGCTAGGGTTTCTGACTTCCCTCTAAAAAGCACTCAGCACGACAAAGAGAATGAATGTAAAAAAGGTCGGAAAAAGTTTGAATAATTATAATGTTATTTTCATATGTTCGTAATTTTTCATATTTAATGCTTTCATATCACATATGAAGAATTATAACCATATAAAGATATAAATAAATATAACGTTGGATCAACATAATCAATCTAACGGTGAAATTAATTGATAGTAACACTAATTGATTATTACAATATCTTATCCTATAATTAATTTCAACTTTACTTTGGTGAAATATTGACATAAAACTGAGTTGGTAGTAAGAGAACTCAGTAACTGAAAATAAAAGAGCCTCAGTTCGACCACTTTTAAGAGGGGTTTAAATATCTCCATCTCTGACTCACCTCGCATTCCAAATTAGTCTTATAGTCGGCACAAAGAGTCAAAACTTTTGGAGACACCAAAAGAAGTCAACTCACGAGAGATAACTAGGGTTGGGTTAATTCAAAAGAAAAAGGTTGATATACAATTATATTGAAGTATATAGATTAAATTAAAAATAATTGTTATGTATAAAGATCAATAATATATATATATATATATATATATATATATGGGAAATGTTTTTCTTATGTTGTTGGAGATAAGTTATCTTATGTTAGTGAAACAAAATTATAAGAGGGGTCCACAAATAATTGGAGAGAAAAAAATAGAGGTGAGAATCACCTTTAGTATGTGTGCGTGGGAATTTGATTTATCGCATGTTGAATAAAATAAATATAATCCTATATATATATATAGGTACAACACTTCTACTACAACAGCAGAAGAGTTTTTTCTGCAGCCATAGACTCACAAAAATTTGTACCATGTTATTTTTATTTTCTTTTTTCAAAAAACATGGTGGGACCCATATTTGTTTCTCTCTGTTGGAGAATCTGAACCTCTATAGTAGTAAGAGACGTATAAAGCCACACACACAGATATATATATATATATATATATATATATATATATATATATATATATATATATATATATATATATGGCTTATCGTTTCTCAAGCTGCTTGAGATAATCTCATCTCCGGCTACTAAATCATAATCGTACAAAGATGGATCAATGGTGATAAAGGAAGAGAGAGAAAAAGGAAATCATAACCATTCAAAGATGAATCAATTAATATAAGGAAGTAAATAAATAAAACGACATAGTTTTGGGGTAGCCGGAGATAAACTTATCTCAAACTGCTTGAGAAATGTTTTTCCTATATATATATATATATATATTTATTTATTTATTTGTGTGTGTGTGTGTGGCCAAGATGGCTCTACCAATGGGCGTAGTAACAACATAGGTAGAGAGTGGAGAAGATGATCCCTCCTCCATGTGTGAGGGGGTATTTAGAGTGGAGAGCTCTCTATCTTGGGAGAGCGAACTGGTCAGTTCCATGAGTTGTTTTATCAAGTCATGTCTTGTTTTGAGACAAGACATACTGCCCACTATCAGTGTACAGGGGCAGTAGTGTAGAAAAAGGGAGATGTCTCAGTGGTGAGCCTCTATGGCTTGTCATAAGTGCCATCTAGAAGGTTCTAGATGTGGTTTTTAAGAGATTGGACCCAACTTGTGGGCTTAAGGTGACTATCCAGAACAGAAGACCCCCAGCTTGGTAGCTTGCGGAATCAGGGTGCCAAGATGTACGGTGTAACAGCCCATTACATACCGGTATTGTTAACATTGATTATGATATTAAGCGCAGTTACAATCACAACAGTTCATTTAAAAATACGAGTAAACTTTTTCCTTTTCATTATGTATTCAATTTAAAACAAACATAATACGTAATGATACAAACTGTGATCGCAACTAAAAACTAAACGCGAAATTAATATAATATATGCTTAACTATCATATATTACTTATTTTAAGTTACTAAGAGGTTCCCATAAACCCACTCAGAATAAATCTCACTTTTTCACTTTTCCTAACACTGAACATGCTACTGTCTTTTTAATATTGGGCGTGATCAACACATTATTAATTTTTCATATTTTAGTATGTTAAACTAGACTCAATTACCTTTCCAACAAAGGTATCACACGCCTCAATTGGAGTTCTCCAGCTCCGGTTATAACCATTTGAAGTTGGACTAGCAAAGCTGTCAACCAACTCCAAATAGAGCACCAAAACTCCCTCACCATTTCTGCGATTCTGGACGATTTAGAAATCCAATTTCTCTCAAATTTTTATACAGAATACGATATACCTTGAGGTTTAATTTGATGCATCATAAGCTTAATTTGAGTACGAATTGACCAGATTGGGTAGTTTGTGTTCTCTTCATCCTATAGGATGCTATACAACTCTAAATAGTACCAAATTTTACGAAAACATATCTGATATCTCAACCATTAAAATGGTTTATGGCACGTCCCAATTAGACTTATGTGGAGGGAGATATGCACTCCTAAAATTAACCTAAAAACTGATTATTTCTTAGAAAATTTGACGACATGTCCTTTGATTTATTAACAAATCCCACTCAGCTTTGGTCGGTTACTCGTAGTGTGCAATGTTCTAAGCAGGATACAATTTAACCAATTTGTATTACGCCGGCCTTCATGAGTTGTTTATTTGTTGTCATCGAGTATGAATTGTCTGGTTGGCGATGCTTGAGTGCTTTAAGAGAATCTTCTATTACGGCTTGCAATTGTGTTGTGTTGAACTTGTGTTGACAACCGAAATAAAAATGTCTTGATCATCTGATAAAATAAATTCGACAGAATTGCAGATCCGAGCTTCGTGAGAAAATAATATTGTAGATGAAAGCTTCTGGAGAGGAAATAAAGTTGTAGTGAAAGCTTGTGGAGAGGATAATGTGTTCCAAAATAGAGAGCGATGGAGATTCTCATGATAAATATATATATATATATATATATATATATATATATATATATATATATTCCCTTCTTCAGCAATAAAACTCGTTGGTGATATGAATGTATAATAAATAACGCCCAGTGACTTGGGTCTTTAATGTCTAGTTACTCAGATATGTTGCTCTATAATCATGACTAACAACAACTAAAATAATAGAATTTAAGTGACAATAAAAATATGCCTAGATGGGACGTTGGCCATATATATATTAGAGATATTTCAATCGGTTCATTACTTCATGACTAGTCCGATTCGGGACGGGTCCTCTTAGGTCTGAGATCAGAGTTGTCGTAATATCCCTTCGTGGTTGAAGAATCGCCTCGTCCTCGAGGTGGGCTTGAGTGGTGGATAGCCTAGTACCTCCTTAGGAATCTTCTGGAATGGGTGAAGTGAGAAGTGAGTGGTTGCCAGGTAGTTTGGTTGTGGAATCTTTCCACACCGTTGGATTAGTGGGGTTAAGTGGCAAATGAATGGTTGTGATTGAGAGTGGGGTATGGGGAACTAAAGTTGATGACGTTGCTATGTCTGGTTCACTCACCTTGATAACGTAAGGATTACAGGAAAAGTTAATGTTGTCACCTACAACTACTTATTTTGAAACCCTTCCTATCCCCTCCACAGTCGAATACGAAATCTGCCTCTAATCGTGGTTAGATGAAAGTAACTGCACGGTGTCGACCCCCATTTCGTTATTGAAGTCTGCTCCTGATGACGATAACTCCATTTTCGACGGGGTATGAATTTGGAGAGAGTCATTCTCCGTAATGGTCAGCGCTTTCTTCGTTGTAGAGGTTTCAACTACCAGAGATGGAACAGAAAAATCTGAACTTGGCTGGTTTCCCGTGTGATGTGTGGTGGTAGACATATCAGGTGACAAAGAATGATGCTCCCTCACATCCCTTTCGTCTTCCATGTTGAATCTTCCGGTGGTAGACCCTCCCATTGAATTAAAATTGTCGGATTTGCAGGTTGTCACGCTAGATTGTGCGAGAAGCCACAATGGCACATGGTTTGTGCATGGGTGGAAACTCTGTTGCAGATGATGAAAACTGGTGAACCTATTGTGTTTGGTTCGATCTAAAAGGTCTCAACAAGGAGACATGAAAAACAGGTGAATCCGTGAAGAGGACGACAGATCCAACTGATACGCTGTCAGGCATATGCATTCCAGAACATAAAAGGGACCATCGTATCAAAGACTTAGATTTTAGGGAGACCTTTGGTGAGCCGACAATTGTCTATACGGTTGCAGACACAACAACACCTTGTCTCCGATTGAAAAAGTAAAATCTTTACGTTTTCTGTCTATCGTGGCTTTCATTAGTTGCAGAGCTCTAATTAAATTATTTTTGACTTTGGTCAGAATGTTTGTGCATGAGATCAATTCAGAGTCCACCACTTCATTAGAGAAGGAGCCCAGGGTATATGCCAGCATGTTAGAAAATAGTTTACAGAATACAACCTGATATGGTGACAACCAGGTGGAGCTATGGACGGTGGTATTGTAATGGTATTCTTCCCAGGCTAAGTGTTTGGACCACGAAGAGGGAAAATCATGTGCAAAAGCACGAGGGTAAAGTTCTAGACTTCGATTAGAATGTTCTGTGACCCCGTCAGTTTGTGGGTGGTAAGAGGAGCTAAATCTAAGATGTGTCCCCTGTAGGCAGAAAAGGGTTTGCCAGAAATTGCTCAAAAAAAAGGGATCACGATCTGAGATAATGGACTGAGGCATAAGTGTGGAACCAATGCATTCTACGTAAAGAATATAAAGGTTCAACGATTTTGATGATAACAAACAAGCATGGAAAGAAAGCTTCAAAGTGCAACCATAAAAAAGAAGTCTAAAGAAGATAAGACTCAAGCTTCAAGAGAAGACTCTAAGTCCAAGCAATCTCAAAGTAATATTAGGACTTAGGATTATTTGAAAGTGAAATTGATTCCTTACGTGAACGAAGCTCAAAGTATATTTTTAAAATACATGCATTAATCATCGTTTATCATTTAAATGCATTCCTAACATGAAAATCTATTTTCAATGATTATCAAATACTTAAAAAGGTTTTGAAACTGACTTGGATCATGAGAAAACCATTTTGGGA